ATGTGATGCTGACGGAGGAGCCACAGCAGGTAAGGTTATAAGGTTCGGGCTGTTGGCTCCCGTTGCCCTGTGCGTTTTACTCTCTGCAGTCTACTTGGATTTGGGGTGAAGCAAAAATGAGGTTTGTTGAGATGCTTTGCGGCAGTTTTAAATGCCCGGGGCTTGTGAGTGCGCTGTATGGCTAGGAAAGGGGATGATTAGTGCCTCTAGGAGTGGGAAAGGAGCATTCTCTAACCACTTAATTTTCTCTCCAGCCCCTGCCCAGTGGTGGAAGGGAGACTAACGAGGGAGAGGGGATAGCTCAGTATTTCTCCAAGAGATTTCCTGGGCCAGACTGAATGGTTTCACAGGCACTTTACACGCCCGACCCTCTGCTGCAGAGATGCAGATTTCTCTATACACTCAGTGCGTGTGTGCGAGAGCCGCGCACTTTGGTGAAGGTGGGGGGTCCCCGCGTGTGTCCCTTTGAACGTTTCTTGTGTCCCTCTCAAAAGAAGTGGACTGCTGATCCTGGACTACCCTACTAGGTAACAAAATAGCAAAGACTTTTACCGCTCGGTCCATCTGGGAAACAGTTACAGTTTCTGGAATAGTACTCGCTCTTAAAAAAAAAAAAAATACTACGCAAGGGAAGAGGGAGGGAAGGGAGTGGAGGAGGTTGGAGGTTGGAGGTTGGATCCTTTGCTCCCATCCAAAGGTGGGTGAGAGAAACCTGAGTCTATAGGGATATGCTGGCTGGCCGGCATGGTGGGTATTGCTCCTGTTCGTGCGTGTGTGGATTCTGCCTGTGACACTTTGGCTCTGTGTCAGAGAATGGTGAAGATTGTGTGTGGACGAATGATAGATGGCATTTTTCCAGGCAGCTCTTAAAGTTCGTTTTAAGTGAGCAGCTTGGGATTTGGTTTCTTTGCTGTATGCATGTCTACTAGAAAGAGAGAAGCCAGAAGGGCTGTGTTGTACAGTGACCCTGTGCCTCAAGGGAGGAAGGAACTGTCCCTTTTCAGGCACCCTCTGAAGTAGACCCAGTGGGAAACACTTCCCAATTAGCCTGTCTCTGTTGAAGGGGGAATTGAAGTTCTCTATATGGAAGCCATACTCTCACCAAAAGGGGGGGGGGTATCCGTTTGGGATTGAAATTGATATAAATCAGCTGCTCCAAGTGAGAGAAGCTCTAGGATACAAAGCCTGTGCCAATGCAGGAGATGAAGAGGGAAGGAGACTCCAAGAGGTCCTTTTCTCAGAGGAAAGAGTGAGGCAAATGTGGGCAGGGAAGCAATGGTGATGGATCTGCTAGGGCTGAGGTTTAGAGACTTGGCTTTCTGGCTTGAGACTTAGTTTTAGGACACCAGTTTGTAGTAAAAGGGGGAAATGCAGACTGATTAATAAGAGGCTAACAGGAAACATGTGGGGTTTTAATATGTCTATGTTGTGCTTTTCAAAGGACCTAATAGAATGGAAAGCAAGAATAGCTCCTAGTTAAAGAGACACTTATGGGGATAATTTCATTCTGATTTGCAGAAGGCTGACATCCGCCCTGATGTATATTTAGATGCTGTATATTTCTGTGAGCCATGCCAATGCTCTTGGTCATCTCTTTGCCTTTGCAGTGGGTAAAGGAATTAAATGGAAAGCATGCAAGGGTGAACAGATGAGTTTTTTTCTCAGTTGCAGAATACTTCTGCCCAGGAGATGAGGCCCAGAATAGATGCCTCTTAAGAATCTTTCTTTCTGTCTTTAGCTTTTCTAATTCTTTGTGCTTTTACCTTCTCTAAGGCTGAACTTTGATGTAGTCAGGGAAAGGTTGTTCATTAACATTTCCAATATTAAGGCTAATATAACCTTACACTCAGCAACCAAATAGACGGGGACCTCAGGTTTGCATCCTCTTTGAATTTATCTAAATGGGTTTGGAGCTTTGATAGTGGGATATAAAAGGGCACCTAGGACAACTTTGCTCAGAAATATGCAAAGACCTTTCCTCGGGATTGGATGAGACTGCCTTTTGTGTCATATGACTTTATTCTTTCTTTCCCCCTTCCCCTTCTTTACAGACTCTTGAGTTCTTCTTGAATTGCCAGTTTTCAGCCTCCTCATGCCTCCGTCTCCTTTAGACGACAGGGTAGTAGTGGCACTATCTAGGCCCGTCCGACCTCAGGATCTCAACCTTTGTTTAGACTCTAGCTATCTTGGCTCTGCCACTCCAGGCAGCAATAGACACCGTCCTGTCATCGCCACCACAGTCGTGTCCCTCAAGGCTGCGAATCTGACGTATATGCCCTCATCCAGCGGCTCTGCCCGCTCCCTGAATTGTGGATGCAGCAGTGCCAGCTGCTGCACTGTGGCAACCTACGACAAGGACAATCAGGCCCAAACCCAAGCCATCGCTGCTGGCACTGCCACCACCGCCATTGGAACCTCTACCACCTGCCCTGCTAACCAGATGGTCAACAACAATGAGAATACAGGCTCTTTAAGTCCATCAGGTGGGGTGGGCAGCCCTGTGTCAGGGACCCCCAAGCAGCTAGCCAGCATCAAAATAATCTACCCCAATGACCTGGCAAAGAAGATGACCAAATGCAGCAAGAGTCACCTGCCAAGCCAGGGCCCTGTCATCATTGACTGCAGGCCCTTCATGGAGTACAACAAAAGTCACATCCAAGGAGCTGTCCATATTAACTGTGCCGATAAGATCAGCCGGCGGAGACTGCAGCAAGGCAAGATCACTGTTCTAGACTTGATTTCCTGTAGGGAAGGCAAGGACTCTTTCAAGAGGATCTTTTCCAAAGAAATTATAGTTTATGATGAGAATACCAATGAACCGAGCCGTGTGATGCCCTCCCAGCCGCTTCACATAGTCCTCGAGTCCCTGAAGAGAGAAGGCAAAGAACCTCTGGTGTTGAAAGGTAATGCCCCTGTTCTGTCCCAAGCACAGTCCTGTTTAGCTGGGTTCACTTTGGGGTTTCCTCCTAGCAGTGGCAGCCTTCTCCTTACCCTGGCTACCAGAGAACAAAACAGACTCTCTTCTTGTCTTCTCTTCCATGCCCTTTCTTTATTATTTTGGTATAGTGAGAAAAATCCAGCAGCACTGAGTTGGAAGTCAGAAGATCTGGGTGCTACCCTTGATTCGCCTTCTGATTTGCATTGTGCAAGTCATTTCACCTCTCTGAGACTGTTTTGTCATCCTTCTAAAAAGGGGCTTTATACCACCAGATGGTGTCTCAAGTCATGCCTGGTCTGGTGGCTTTCTGTTCCAGTCCATAACTAATGGGAAAGTTGCTGTCTCTCAGACCTAACCAATGTTGATGAAACAGAGGAAGCAACTCTGGTGAACTACAAGTAAACCGACAGGTACCAGCTCTTTTTGTGGGAGATTCTTCCTCTTTCTCACCTCTGATCAGCTTGACTTTTATATGGCTTATAAAATGACCTTCAAGAAGGGCAGAGATTTTTTTGTAAAATGGAAGTGTAAGTTCATCGAATACCTCCATTCCTTTGCCAAAGCTCCAAGGGGACAGAGAGACTTTTATGAAACACTTTCCAACTCGTTGTGCTTTGGGGGCTTCACCTGATAACAATTGGCATGGTGGTTCCTCCCAAGAGGGAGTAGTAGGTCACCTTGCCAGTACACTGAATGTAGAACAACTCTGAGGTTAGTGAAGCTGAGCCCCAAGAGGAGGAATTAATTGTCCACTCTTCTCTGAGCCCCTTCCATACAGTATTATCTAACCTAGCAGAGGAGCCTTGATCTTGTGTCCAGCCCAGTTGCAATTCTTTGCTCTCAAGACACTGCACCTTGTTTCTCTTTGGCATCTTCTACTTGGTGACAGTAATGAGAAATAGTCATCCTTTTTCTTCTCTCTCCTTGCGTTTTGAGCCAAGGTACACAGTTTCTGGGTCACATCTCCAACCTGTCTCCTGAACTGTGTTGATCAAAGGTGTTGCTGGGTTCTTTTGAACACTTTGCATATTTAAATTGCAACAGGTGATTTAGGTGAACAAATTACTTATTTTAGCTTTGTGGGACAGCTCTGCCACCATTATTCTTGTTTTCCACGAGAGGTCTTCAGCCTTTTGGAAAGCAGTGTTCTTGAAAATATGGTCCTGAATTCCTTTGCTAGTAGTCCCCTCCCACACCCACTTAACACTTTATTCTCAAGTTTTTTTCTCATTGGGCTCAGATATCACAAGGGCACATCTTTCAAGGTTTACTTGGAGTCACAAATATGTTCAGGCTTCCTCTGTGTAGCTCTGTATTTTATTTTTGTATTCTTGTTTGGTTGACTTTTAGTATTTCCCAGTAGGTTTACCTTTCTTCTGTGCTTCTATTCTCTCACCACCATCCTGGTTTGTCTTTTTCAGATGAGAAAATACCATCTACAAATTTCCTATTTCCCATTTGTAATAGTTTGTCTTGGGGAACAAAGACAAATGGTCTTGCTGGTCTCTTTTCTTCTATAGACATTCTTGATTTAAAAAAAAAAAAAAAAAAGCATGGTTTTTGTGTCAGCATGACCAGAGGAGAAATGCCAAGCAACAGAAAATAAGATGACCCTGAACTTGAACATGGGGATGATCAGGAGGAGTTGTAGATCTTACCCTGCATTTTTCAAGGGGCCTGTTGGGTAGAAGGTTGGCTTGTCAATTACTGATAAATCAATCCCCTGAGGGCAGCTGATGAAGTGGGGTTCCTCTCCCCTTTCCTGTGGATGCATCTGAGAATCCGGGCAGCCTGGGCTTGTTCCTCAGTGTCAAGAGAGCAAGGTTGCCTCAGTGGGGCGGGGCAGGACACGCTGCTGACCTCACCACCAGGCGCCCTGGGTGTCCGCAGCAGAGGGCTCGTCATTTTCGGGTTGGTGAGACAGCGCAGCGGTGAACTGGGAAGACGCTCTGGTGGTAGAGGTTGGATTATATGTAATTTTGGGGGGGATTTTTCATCAAATACCTGGAAGTTTGGTTGAATTTACATAGTTCAGGAGCAAGTGGGTCTGTCATGTACTCTCTTGATTATTGTTTTGTTCATTTGATATCTTTTGATGGAATGGCCTAAAATTGGGACCCAAGATAAGAATGAGAGAAAGGGATGGATCCTCAGTAGAATGTCCCTGTTGTCCTTTCATCTAGGCAAAACCGAGGTTAATATCAAAGCAGCACTGAGGTGAAGAATGGGGTGGGCCTTTCTCAAAAGAAATGGTCAACAACTTCCCCCATGTTCTAGAGTGGGCCAAGAAGACCATCCTGATGTGGCTTCTCTTCTGAGATTTATTTTAGGAATCCCCTTCCTCTGTGATTTAAGATTGTATTTCAGCAAGAGTAGTAGTGGTACCATTTTGGAATGAGTGATTTTTCCAGGGAGGATGTGTGTGTGTGGGGGGGGGGTAGTTAGAATATAAGGTAGAAACTTCTTTGTAGGTCTTATAAGTTTATTTCCAGAGATTTCAGGACAATCTGGAGTAATTTATGCCTGACCCATCTGAGTCTCTGGTTCATGTTTGTACACACTGGTTGCTACCCTCCCTGCCCAGGTTTTATGTCCCCCGGTTTCAATGCCATGCTCTCCATTTTTGGTGCTGCCTGTCAAGTCGAGCGGCTGCTGGGTTGCCATTTTAGTAATGCTGTGTCAGGTTGGGAAGAAACTGATCAGAGGCACGGAAGCCCCTGGGATTAAGTTACTGTTCTAATTTATAGTCCCCTCCCTGTTGTGACCTATGTCTGAATTCATGTTTTATTCTCATCCTTGGAAGAATAAATGGCATCAGACCTTTGCTTCTACTCAACCTGATGAAAATAATCCAAATGAACAAATAGTTAGGGATTTGCAAAGTCTTTGAAAGAATTACAGTCTGTTTTACCTGAAGTCAATTTCTAATCAACTCTAACTTGGTTTTTGGCCAAATTGAATAAGAAAGCTAGACAATTCTTGACCTTCCATAAAAGAAAGCCACCATTTTTGCTCTGATATTTATAAGGCTACTTTTTTTTTTCTTCAACAAAGCTGGGTTCAGAAAAATAATTTGTCTTTTATCTATATAGGAAGAGATAGTCTACTGCCACCTTCTCCTTATGGCAATATATGCCTTTAAAATTTTTATCATGACATATTTTCAAACATGTAGAAAAATAGCAAAGTGTATAATCACTGTCCCTGTTAATCAGTATAAGCTATTATTACTTTTTTTCCCTATTTGCTTTCTCTTTTCTTCTTGTTGTTGAAATAGTTTATAGTATAGAGAGTATTTGAAAATATTAAAATGTGTTTAATGTCTAAACAATATTTAAATAACGGTGGGAATATTTTATAGGATAGAATGAACATTTTTTTACTACTAAGTACTTCAGTGTCAGGTGCTCATCTTGACAGAGCCCTTGCCTGTACTTGCTTGTGCTAACACAAAACAAAGACTGACTGACTGGCTATAATCTTTGACAGGCCTGCTCTGTACCAGAGGCATTTTAAGGGGTGGAACAAGGGAAGGCCAGGAAAATAGTTTAGGAGCTATAACCTAGAAAGTTAGATTCTATACTACAAAAATCCTGAGAAATGAGCAACATAGATTGCACATTTTTCCCTAACAAAAAGGATTCTGAAATATACATTTCTAGACATTACAAAATTAAATGACCATGTAAATTGCTGTGCTCAGAAATCGGAGACCTTGTGAAAAATATTCTTCCCATCTCTGTCTTGCTTTCAGGGATGAATAAAAACCTCTCCTTTGACAAGCCCCTTCCCTGCCCCTTGGCTCTCAGGGATGTTCTGAGGATTTTTTAAGATATGTGAAATAAAAACTTACTATTATTATTCTGAGCCTCTGATTAATCACCAAGGAAGGCTAAATGCCAAACATGAGCTGTGCAATAAAAGGTGGAGATATTAAGGCAGAATTTGGATTCAGTAGACCTGAATTAGTCTTGGTTTTCTCTTTTTGTGCCCCTGAGCAAGTTGCCTTAGTTTTTAATTCCTTAGTTTCCTCAACAATAACAATAGCAATTGCAGTGTTAGTTTATGGCAGTACTAGAATTAAATGATTGTGTGTAAAGTATACAGAATAGTTCCTCCTTATATGGTAAGTAAGTGTAGCTCAATGTTATCATTACTATTGATTGAACAGAAATGATAGTGCCAGTATAAAGATAATTTTGACTCTTCTTCCAACGGAGTACAAATAACAAGCTAGGTATAGCAGAGTGTATGTGCATGTGTGTGTCTGTTTGTGAGTATGTGTGTCTGTGTCTGTGTGTGTTGCTATGGCCTAAAAATAACTTGGTGACTGTTACCTAATTTAAGTAGCATACAGTTGGAGTGCCAAGTAATTGCAAAAACATGTTGGGTCAAGAGGCCAGAGTAATTTGGGCATATCCTAGCATTATTTATTTGTAGGGGAATTTATAAAAATGTGATGATAAATCTGTCCAACTAATGTCCCATAACTGAATAATGAAAGTATAAAACTTTTAGGGTCTGCTTTTTCTGGCTTCTCATTAGGCCGATTTATTTTTGGAAGAAGGATTGTAGTCTGACTATAAAAGGGTAGAGGGAAGGAGGGGGGAGGGTATATGTTGTGAGGAGCTGGGGTGTGGAGGAGTAAGGAGGGAATGGTGACCTGAACATTTTCCCTGAACTGCTGCGCAGTTGTCTGTACTCTGTCTGAGCTTTGCACCCACCCTCCTGCTTCCTAATTAAAATGCATGTGAAAAGGGAATAGAAGTGAGCCGCCCCCTACCCCTGACTGTCCTTACACCTTCTGTCCCTTTACTATGTGGTCAGCAAAGTGAAGTGTAGTTCTCTTACACCTGACTTCAAGTCCAGCCTTTCCCACTGACCAATTTAAACAACTCCTGTTGACCTCTCAGAGGCCCAGGTTTTCTCCATTGTAAGATCTGGGTAATTTTACATCATAGGATG